TGGCTGGTGTTCCAATTAGTAGAAAATCGCTCACTGTTTGTCAAGTTACTCGTTGTATTTCCTGATTTTTTTTTTTTTTTTTTTTGAGATTGGAGTCTTGGCTGTTCGGCCCCAGGCTGGAGTGGCAGTGGCTGGGATTCAGGGCTCCTGGGCAAGCTCCGCCATGCCCGGTTTATTATGCCATTCTCCCGCTGGCTCAGGGGCGCTCCCGAGTAAGCTTGGGACTACAGGTGCCGCCCACACCTTCCAGCTAGTTTTTTGTTTGTAATTTTTTTAGTAGGCATGCCCACCACCCTTTGGACAAGGCCTGAGTCTCTGACTCCCTAAAAGTCCCAAAAGGAACTGCAAACATCTCCAAGGGCCCAGGCGCCTGGTCAGCCTGGCACCTAGAAGGACAAGCCAGCCTCACCCCAGTCCTGGGGGCCCTCTCCTCCACAGCCCCCGGCACAGCTACCCACACTACCATGGTCATCTACTTGGGGCAATATGGTAAACTGATAAGCCTCCCCCACAGGTAGGAGCCCCGCTTAAAACGGAGGAAGCCTAGAGAGTGCCTTGAAGGTTCCTGGGACAGTTCATTAAGATGTCAACCCCTAATGAAATATTTCTCTCTTTAAATCATCATTGATCTTGGGGAAGAGGAGCCTTTGTGGAAAAGGAAAAGGCTGTCCCTCTCCTATTCCTCCCTCACCTCCAATCAGCAGAGATTCTAGGTCTTTCCCAGTCAGAAAGATTGGGAAGCAGGGAATGGACGAACAGTGGAGAGATGGGAAAGGCAAAAGATTCCGGAGTAGAGGAACCACAGCAGGGAAGGAGAGGCACAGTGGGAAGGGAGGTCACAGAAGGAAGCCTACCATAGCAATGAGACCATAATACCCAAACACCCACTACAATCGAACTGTCCCATCAGTGGGAGGCTGGGTAACAAAACAAGACGGGGCACACTGATATGGTAGAATCCTCTCCAGTGGCCTCTTAAGTAAGTGACCTAGAGACACACACAACACATGCAACGAACATGTAGACATTCATCTCAGCAGCATGAAGTTCAGCAAAACACAAGTAAAAACAAGGAGCAGGCTACCTTTCATTTAAAATTTTAATTGCTTGATATTTGACTATGCCACAAAAATGAATCAAAATAAATAATTAAAACAAAAGAAAATTTTGAGATACCCAAGCAATACCAAAGCAGTAAGAGTAGAAAACTTACTTGGGAAGGCCAGCTTCAGGAAACCACAAGGGAAAGATGGAGAATGGGAAAGAGAAGAGTCATGGAAAAGGCCTATATTAGCAATGATTTTTACATGTTTCATTTTTAAGCATAAAATGTATAGCTCAATTAATGTTTACAAAGTGAACACATGTATGTAACCAACTCCCAAATTCAAAAAGACCCCCAGAAATCCCCTTGTGCCCCTCCGTCACACCTCCACCTAAAATAGCCATGCTCCTGAGTTTTAATGCCATAAATTCATTGGATTGGGTTTTGAATTTCATATCAATGGAATCAAACTGTGTTTTCTTTTGCGTCTGGCTTTTATGCTCAACATTATATTTGTGAGATTCCTCCATGTTGTTGTATGTGGCAATGGTTTGCTCATTCTCGTTGCCAAGTACTAGCCCACGGATAAGAAGACCATGGTTTAGTCACCTATTCCACTGTTGACGGCTATTGTGAATAGTGAGCACATGCGAATAGATGGCATAGCATTCTGGTGTATGTCTTTTGGTGAACATATGTACATATGCATTTTTATTGGCATATACTTAGGAGCGGAGTGGAGTGGAGTTACTGCA